GCATTTCCATGTAAACTTAGATGGAGAAAATCCATTGCTGGAAGGAGCCTCATAAGACATACTAAAGGAAGTTTCCAGGATGAAAGGAAATAGTATCAGATGGTAATTTGGATGTACATAAAGAAATACAGAGCACAGGTAAAGGTAATTATACAGGTAAGTATAAAGGGAAGTATAAATATATTTTTCTTTATTCTCTTGATTAATTTAAAAGAAAATTTCATAAAACTATAAATTTCAAATTTTATTAACAGGACTATAGATTATTAAGTATAATACATAATAATAAAAACACAAAGAAGAAGCAGGGATGGAACTATTATAGAGAAAGGAAATGACACCAAACAGAAACCCACAGGAGAAGACCAGGAAATGGTAAATATTGGATCAATATAGAACATTCTATAAATATGTTTTTCTCCTTTCTCCTCTTAATTAACAAAAGACATAAGATTTTCTAAAACAAAATCTTCAATGAACTGTTGTTAGGTTACAACATATATAGACATAGTATATATGACAGTAATAGCCCAAAGGAGAAGAGAATAGAGCTATATTAGAACAAAGTGTCTGTATTTTATTGAAATTGAGTTAGCATCAATCTTAAAGGGATTATAATAAATTATGATGCATATTGAAGGGACATCCAGTTTTAGGTTCCACGTGTAAGGAGCTTGGAAGTCAAAACTCTGTCCCAGCAACAAGGAAAAAGCTGAACAGATTGAAAAATCACCAACTGTTATTGGATCCATAAGAAAGAGGTGGGAGGACACAGAGCAAACCAATGAGCTTAAGATTAGAAAGAGACAAATACAGGGAGTCACTGTTGACCGGAGCAGAGATTCACAAGCTGAAACCAGTACAGGAACCAGGGCCAGGGCAGAAAAACTGGAACTGAAATTGATAGATTGATGGAGACTCGGTATGCACAAAATCTCCAGGGGATCCAGTAAAAGGGGGCCCCACAATTTTATGAAATATACCTCCAGGAATTTAATCCCCCCCCCTTTTTTTTTCCAGAGAAACTTCCCCTGCTGCTTCCTGCAGGATGAGGAGGAAAGAAATGATTTTTAAATAGGTAAAAGCACACTGTTCCTCTTAACAAGGCCTGCCCTGAGGGGAAACTGGTTAACCAGGTCCTAACCTGTTGGATATTATCAGAGATTAACTGACTTGGGGAAGGGAATTAACCAAGTCCGGCCCACCCTAGCCATCCTTTTCTGCCTAACAGGGGAGGAAAAAAGTTAAAGCATTTGTGAAATTCACAGACCAGAGGTATAGGCTGACTAAAAGACTAAGACCTGATTGTGGACTATAGAGCATGTCCTCTCCCCCTACACTTCACTAATCTACACTAATAAAAGAGAAAAATGGTAATTGGCTTATGATGCTACCCTTTTCATTGGCTAATCAGGGCTATATGCAAATTAACTGCCAACTAAGATTGGCAGTTAACTGCCAACAAGATGGCGGTTAATTTGCATATGTAGGCACAATGCAGGAAGGCTCAAGGGAAGGCAGGAAGAAGCTCCTGCCAC